AAATATATATATATATATATATATATATATATATATATATATATAAAATTATCAAAAGACAGAAGAACTCTCTCTCTAGAAATACATGGTAGTGTTTGATATGGGAATGAGTAAAAAAAATGCTACTTTCAAAATTGACCACTTGGATTAGGCGTGGTAACGACTCGGGTCAGGCTAGACCCGGGTCTAGGTTTTGGACTCGGACCCGACCTTTTGGATCCAAAATTTGGACCCATATCCGAACCTGAAGTCGGGTTGATCCGTTAGGTCCTGGGATTGGTTGGGTCTATTTCCACCTTATTATGAGTGTTTTTTTTTTGGCCCATATTATTGGCAACATGTGCACAACATTTATGAATACCCACATATACATTTATTGGCAACATTTATAAACATTTAAATATATTATTCGGGTCAGGTTTGGATGGACCTAGACCCGAATAGTATTTGGGTCCAAGTTTTGAAGTCGGATCCTTGCGGGTCCAGAATTTCGACCTATACTTGGACCCGAGGTCAAGTCTACCTGTAGGGTCCCAAGTCTGGTCGGGTCCGTTGCTACCCCTAACTTGGATCGGACAAGAAGATACCCGTGTTATCAAATTCGCTTCGCTTCGACTGAAGAGGCTAAAGCCTTAGGATTTTAGGCATAAACCGAAGCGAAGCGAAGCTTGGTGCAGCCGCTTCGGTCAGAATAGGGCTACTTCGGTCAGATTCAGGCCGCTTCGAGTTTGCTTCGGGTATGCTTCAGGTCTTCTTTGAGTCTGCTTCGGCTAGCAAAGAAATAGCTTTATAGAAGTAATTTTTAATTTTTTTACTTTTAATTTGTTATATTAGTTGTATATTTTATTTTTCTATTATTTGTATGTATTTTATGTATAAATAAATTAGATATTTATAATATATTAATAAAAAAAAATCTGAAGTCTTCCCCCGAATCGGTCGAAGTACCGAATTGTTTCATTTTTCTCATCAAACCGAAAAAACTTGGAAGCGAATTTGACAACATTGGATGGTATACCTTTGGAAAAAGTGGATGGTTGGGAGTTTTGGTTATATTTTATACTTTTGCACCATTCCTTCAAAAAATAATTAAAAACCAAATTGTTTTTTGTATTAGCATTTTTTATATCTTTTGAAAATTGGGTGAAAAACTAAATTGTTTTTTGTTTTAGCATTTTTTATATTTTTTGAAAGTTAGGCCCAAAACCAAATTGATTGGATTATTGTCTTTGCTAATTATATTTTAAGATGTGAAGCTTTACGTGTCTTTTTCTGCATGATGAACTTTTACTTTAGCTTAATGTTAATGAAATTGAAATGTAGAATGAAAGAGCCCTAATAAACTCCTATAGTTTATGAGAACAATGGAACAAAGAAATTCATCAAAGTGTATCAGTTTAAGAAAACTAATCTGATTTATTGATTGGTGACTTTATTTTTGCAAATAATAACAATAGTATTTCTTTTCTAATATGATGAATGGATTTTATTTCATTTTTAAAGCACAACCATAAATAAAACAGTCCGATAACAAATTGTATGTAATTGTTTGTTTTTCAGAGGCCATTTGGAAATATTAATCATTCTAAAATAAAGAGTAATGATCCTATGATCCTCCTACACCCATGTGTGTAGAACTTCAAATGATCACCATTTAATTTGACACAGATCTCTAGAAAAGTTATCACATGGGTGTGAGAATTGATTTTTTTTAAAATCTATGCTAAATTTAATGGTGATCATTTGGAGTCCATACATGGATGTGAAAAGATCTCATAAGATCATTACTCTAAACTAAATTATATGTATTGTTTCCTTAATTTGGAATCAACCCTTAAAAGTTATAGAAATATAAAACTCCAACCTATGCATGAGTTACAACAGGAGGCTTAACACAGTTTTATTTTTTTTCTTTTATTGTAAACCATCTTGACATAAAACTCGGGACAAGCCCACTCCGCACACCCAATCAAAAACGAAGGGAAAAAAATTAATTTCAAAAAAACAAAATGACCAAATCATTCTTGCATGCTGCAGGGGTATTTTGGTTTTCATATTATAAAAAAAAAAAAAAAATCTTATTTTTATCAAGTGGGAACAAAAAAAAAAATCTTATTTTTATCAGGTGGGAACATGTGATCATGGTGGATGACCGAAATTTTATATCAAAATGATTTGTTGAAGAATTAAAGCCAAATACTTTGTGCTGTCTAGTCAATGCTCATGTTAAGAAAGGGTGGAGATTCTCTTTTTTCTAGTCTTCCCAAACAAATTTTAAGAAGGGGATGACTAAAAAAATTTCTTCTATTTCTCAATAAGATATAAAAACAATTTCTCTCTCCTTAAAATCTTTGCTATGTCTCTTCCTAAAATCTCTACTCTTCACGTACATAATATTAGATTCTCTTTTTTTTTCTACTCAGTGTCATTCTACACCTAAAGTGAGGAATATGTCCTACAATATTTATAGACGGAACTATAGAGTTAGGGCCTTTCTTATTTTTGTAATATGTGTCCACCCTTTAATTATGGCTTAATAATGTAGTATAGATACTATATCAAGCAAATTTTAATCAGGCCAAGCTGGGCTCAGTAAAGAATCGGGCTAAGCGGTCATATTAACTTTTGACACAAGGTGGTCACATTAATCTTGACCATTGGATGTGAAATTGGGTGGCTACAGTTATTCTATTCACCAAGCTCAAACTTCAAAAGAAACTTTCTCGAACTTAGTCACACATCTAAGCTATTAAAATCCGCATCAAATGATTGTAAAGAACTGTGACCACATTGTATCAAAGGTAAACGATCTCATTATATACAATTCTTATATAGTATATATATATATATATATATATATATATATATATATATATANAGTGTAGTTAGTAGTACTTAGTACTACTATA